AGTCCTTGTTCCTGCTCGAGTTACGATTATGCGCCCGCGGTGAAGGATAATTACGATCGAGATCAATGAGATTGCGCGTAATTTCGAAATCGGAGAACTTTACGCAGGTCTCGATGGCGCGGCTTCGCGGTCGCTGATTTCGGATAATTAAGGAATTATTCCCGATATGTATTTTTTTTCCTTCAAATTGTATCTCATTATCAGAACGGTGATAAGAACGGGGAGATTTCGTTGTTTCGCGAGTTTCATTGGGATTCTTCTCCCGGGGCGATTTTTATTTCGCGATACGATTTTATTCGGAGATACGGCGCAATTAATCCCAGGGATTATTTAGATGCAATTGCAGCTGTTAGCAGGCCAAGAGTGCTGCAAGGCTTAATCTAATTTACCTAGCTTGCGGAGAGATTTACGCGTCGCGGAATAATCGCGGCAGCCGCGTCGACCGTAAATCGTGGACGCGAGACCATCAGCGGTGCATCAGCGGTGCATCACGATGCATCCGCGATGCAGGTGCGAAGTCAAACGCCGTTCGATTCAAAGGGTCAGGAGACGATTCTGAAAAGTATCCCCGAGGATGATACTTCGAGCTGTCCGATCTCGACGAACGACGAGCTATTAAATGACCCGGAGATGCAACTCTCTCGAGTGCAGCTGCCGCGTACAAGAAGGGGGCGACCTGGCATTTTGATCAAAAATGAGTTATGGCCGTAATTACGGCGCATTGTGCGCGGCCCGGCCATTACGCTTAGTTTAGGATCAATTATTCCCCCCGGTTGTACGCAACGGACGGATAAGGACGTGCAGGGGGGTACGACATTTATTATATTTATATACTTTTTTTTTTCTTCTTCTTCATAACGAAGGAATTTCTCCGCGAAAGGCTCGATGTCGATGATAAAACGGAGGGAGAGATTATCTGGTGAATAAATTCTCAGGGGGAAGATCCTTGCTCCCTCCAGGGATGGAAATTCTCTGGAAATTTATCGGGGAAGAGATGTGCGCGAGTAGATGGTGTTTTTCGGGGGTTTCGACATTTTTCTATCATTTTTATTTGGAAATCTCTCCGGGAGAGGATCGAGCGATTGATGTATACGTATAAAAGCCAGGTGTAGTGGCGTGGGCGTGGATTTGGAATTTTATCAGATCGCTCTGGTTGGCTTTGTATGCAATCCCTCGTATCGAATCGAGTACGAGGACAGCATTTCGTGCCCTTTCGAATCGGCGAATCGGCGCGCGCATTCCAGGGGCACGCAAGCAGGGGGGTCCGATCGGATCTCCTTTTCGAAATCTGAAAAAAAGAAAACGAATCTGCGACGTATATCCCTCCTGGGAGGGTGATTCACCGCCGTTCCCTCCTTTTTCAGGGCGAATTTCCCCTCTCCGAGAGATATACGCGATCCGCGCCAAAATGGCGAACTCGCGGATCGCGAGCGATGGTATCGCGAGTGCACCTTTCACGAGTGCGAAATGTGCAACACGTGGAAACGCATGTTCCAGGTCGTAATTTTAGAAATTCTTTGGTTAACGGTGTTCCTCTTCTCTTGTATATGTCTCAGGTATACATAGAAAAAATTGTTTGCAATGAATTTCGGGAGATTTAATTTTTTTGATATTTTCGAACACTCGCCGCCACGCATCGATGTCACTCGCGAAGGAACGCGCATGTCTTGGAAATCTATGATCCGGGTCGAAACTTTAGAAATTCTTTGGTTAACAATGTTCTCCCCCTCTTGTACATGTTTAAAGTATATTAAAAAAAATTATTTAGGATCGATTACGAGGGGGGGAGGAATTTTTCTGAATTTTGAAACCCTCGCCGCCACGCGTCGATGTCACTCGCGACGCTCGAGAGCTGCGGTGCCACGACTTTCTCTCTTTGCGGGATGTTCTTGTTTAATTTAGCCGGCGCTTAAGTGGCACTTTTACAGTATATAAAACGTTAATAGAGGCTAGTGGGTTATGAGGGGACCGACTAGTGGAGGATGTTCCTCGGCGGATCGTAAATCCCGAGTCCATAGTTACGCCGGCGGTGTCCAATTACTATTACGATACATTGACGGGGGCCCGAGAGCGAGTGCACGCGCCAAGTACATTGGTATGACGAGTATATGTTGTACATTGGTCCGAGTATATGTTCGCGAACGGACTCTGACCACACAAACACTCGCGTCGGCGTACAAAGCGATCGCGCGAGTGCGCACGCGCGCCGCCATTAAGAGTCTGCTCCTCTCGGAGGCAAACAAAGAGCTGGCATTCAAATGCCAAGCCGGTAAGAGTGCATGCATCGATATCGAGTCTCTCTCACTCTCCTTCGAATTGATTCGCGAATCCGCTAACAACGACTCGCCCGCAATTCGCGGATTCGTCACGCCTTCGAAATCCCGGATTTATGGCGATAATAAAGTGCCATCCGAGAGATCAATTGTTCATGACCTTTTTTCCAACTGGGTGTACCGAATCGTTTGAAACTTTACAACCTGAACGCGTAAGCCATGGAATTAAATTTTTCGGTAAAGTTGGAAAAATATTTATAGGTAACTTGAAAAATAAAAAATTAAGGTCATGGGTGTCAGGACCTTCCTTAGGACTTGCACTCGAGATCCATAAAAATTCCCAAATTCGCACCTATGGACTCCTTCTTGTTCTTCGAGAGAAATTCAAAATGGCGGCTTCCGCGCAAGCGAGACCCCCCAGCCAATTAAGTCATTGATTAATTACACAAATCACGGAACGATGCGACTCTTTATCGTCCGGACTCTCCGCGACTCTCTAGGGACCGATCTCAAGAGACGCGTCACGCCTCCCAGCTTCCGTAATTACCCGGGAATACTGGTACTAATTGAACTGCACAAGGTTGCACATGCGAGCGGAGGTCGCTGCGTGATTTGCTGCGGCAATATGTCGAGGCTGGCAGGAATCATTTCCCACGAGTTGTCAGGGCGTGATTACGAACCTACATGACTTTTCCGACGACCTCTTTCTTCCTTTATCATTTATTTCGCCGCGAAACTTCTTTAGCGGTGATAGGGTAAATTCGATTCACGTGAAACCAAAAGTGAAACGCTGGTGGGGGCACGTTGAATTTGAACGGAAAGGGACTAATTTATTTCTTCGATATTAAATCAGAATTCAAAATTGTTGAAGAAGCGTCACTTGGTGCGGAAGTGTCACTTCTGGCGCGCTGCTTTCCGCGTTTTCTAGTTTCTTTTATTTTTTTATTAATCGACTATCTGGGAATTATTGTCAAGCAATTTGCACGTTAGATCAGGCCGTTCTCACTTTTTTCTTACACGCGGTTGCACCATCGCGAAACGATTTCCCGTTTGACCTCTGACCCACGGTAGTCAGATGCACCAGGATGCACCCGCGCTGCAGCTCGGCGATCTCGCGAATGATAACGCGGTATCTCCTGAATCTCCTGAATTGATTTCGAAATTTCCTGGCGGTTGACGACGTCGCCAAACTCTGGGTACCCTGCAGTTCAGGACTGCATGCGATATACATATTTTTTTTTAAGCCCGATTTGCATAAGAATCTGCAATGATAAACTTGAAGGTAAAGAAGTTTCCCGCAGAGTTTGAGACATAGTTGAGGCGTAATCGCGAGAGTCTACCTGTTTTATCGATACCGTTGGGTAAACGTACCTCAAGGATAGAACCGAAGGTCGGTAAGACAGATTCTCTTAGGAAAAAGAGACGTGATCTCTCGTGGGTACTCACAGAGATGAGTTGGGAGATTGCTCACGGGCAGGGTCGCGCGATCGCATCGTGTGCTGCCCTCTGGTTTCGTACGTTAGATTTCAGTTCTTCGCGATGGCTATGCCATCTACCAGTTGCCGTTTGCGGCTCACGTATTCGTGATGGTAATACCATGCGGCAGTTGACGGTGGTGGTTTACCATTACGACAATCTCCCAATTCATCTCTGCCAAATCAGAGATGAGTTGAGAGATTAACGGGAAGGATCGAGCGACCGCGATCCGAGTCCGTGATTGGTCGATCCTTTGCCGGTGACGTCGCATCACCTGGTGGTCGGTAAGGAAGGGCACTTCGGAATCGCGGGTATTTGAAAAAGAACACGGGAGCGCAAATTCAAATTCGAAGTCGCTGGATTTATTGAAAAACCTGGTATAAAAGGGAATAAATTACCGCGGAATAAATAAATAAATACAGGCGATTTAATACTGACTCGCGCGAGCAGTCGTCGGGCCATAGTTAGAAAAGAATCCCACGTGATCCTCTAATCTAAGTAATCGTTATCACACCCACGCGTGCACCCTGGCCACGACACGCTCGCGCATCCTCCATTCGCAATGACGACAAGTACCCGGAGTCATAAATAAATAAATAAATAAATACTAGGAACTAGAATAAATACCTAACTACGCGTAGGGAGTCGCGCGAATCGCGTATCTAGGAAACTCGCGAGCGACTTTCGGCTTATCACTGTCGCTGGTCATTATTTTCTCTTCTTCACTTTTTCCGTCCCCCCCTACCGCCGTTCGTCGAATAAACACCAAATCCCGGTAATCGTCAGACTTCGTCTGATCGGATGACTAATGCAGTCATTAAAGTCCCCACTCGACTTTGCTAGTGCCGAGGCCGTGGGGTATTCCCCGCTGCACCTGTCCGCCGCAACTGGTGCATCCGACGGCGTTCCACCTGATATCTCGTGTCATCCTGACGAGTCACCGCGACTTGCAAAGGCGCTAATCCAATTGTCAGGTCGACATCACCTCCCGATTAGTCCTCGGTTTTCGACGTCTCGAGGTGGGATGGAAAGAGAGAGAGAGAAAGAGTAGTGCTGGTCGTTCGGTAACCGAAGAGATCTCCGCAGGTGCGCAAACAGCGCACCTGACAATAGTCCTTGCACTTGAGGAGGACCCCTCAATATGAATGTCGACCTCGGAGCTGCGCTGCCTCGATTACGATGCAGCGCTGCACTAGCTCGGGCAGTTGCACCTGCGACTGCACCACACTGGTTGCACTCGACCTCGTGCGTTCAGTAACCGAAGACGTGCTTCCAGGCATGCAAATAGTCCTTGTACTTGAGAAGGACCCCCCAGTCGCGGATCAGCCTCCTGGTGTCGTCCTCAGGGTCGCGCTCGGTATCGCTCATTATGCTGCGCTGCACCCGCGCGGGCAGTTGCAGGTGCGGCAGGACCACCAGGTTGCTCTCCACCTCGCACAGCATCACCAGGAGGTAGGACTTGGTCGCCACCAGGGCCGACCTGACCCCGGGGTCGGTCTCATCCTTGACGAGCTCCTCGAAGGCCACCGCGAATTTCTGCAGGTCCTGGTGCAGCTTCGGGAGGTGATTCGCGATCTGAAACGAAAAAGGGGAACCCTTCGTTGCATTATTTCGTATCGATGCATCCTTAGGATCCGTCACTACCTCGGTTACAACCCTGTGCCCCGTTCTTAATCACTTCACTTGTTTCTCTTTTTCAATTTATTCCTTAACATCCCTTAACTCTTATAAATTGAAATTCCACGGGCGTCGGGGGATCGCTCAATGCCCAGATATTCACGAGAAAAAAAAAAAAATCAAACTATTCGGTCCACCCAGTTCGTAGAGAAGTGTCCTCGTCTTCCGAGGCAGTTTCCATGTCACTTTAATCCCTCACAGCGCGCGGAACCCTTGCAGGACCGTCCCTTCGCGGCCCGGGACGACGAGAGGTATCCGCGAAGGTCTCCCCCAGAGGAGAGAGTCGCGGTCTTTCGAAAGTATCAGGAGGGAATCGCGGGGCCCTGGAGGCGTCGCGACGCGTCGATATCAACGCGTGCGCCTGGCGTTATCGGGGCTCGCGTTAACGAGGCGCGATTACGCAGCCGCGCGACCCGGCGAGCATGAGCACCGCTCTGCGTCCCGACGAGGCCGACGACCGCCACGCTCCTGTTGCCCTGGTACTTTATAATAATTACCGTCTCATTAAAATTTGTTATTTAACGTTAATCGAATGCGCGCACCCCCCCAGGGGAGGCGAGGGGCTCCGCGTCGCGACGCGACGCGCCGCGCGCAGCGCCCTCGCGCGCTGCGGCTTCGTCCCTGGTAGCGCGAATCGCCGGGTGCGAGAGATGAATATTAATGTATTTATGTACCCGTGACATAACTCGAGAGAATAAAGGGACGCTTCGGTGAGAACCCCCCTCCCAGAGGGTGTCCGACGCGTCCAAGGGGTCCATCCGTGAAGAACGGAGGGTGAAACGAAAATTGAAACGCACGGGAGCGACGGCTCGGTCGCGATATCAGCCAGGGGGGCCGGGAATTATTAGCAGGGGAGGAAGACCGGCGGATTTCCGCGAGCGGTCCGGGCTCTTTGAAGCGAGTTTCCCAGGAAAATTCCTACCAGGGTAGGAGGAAAATCCCGGAGGTGGAGTCTCACCGTTCTCGGGCTGGCCTTGGCGAGCTTCCTGACGTGGCTGACGTCCTTCTTGCCGGGCACCCAGTTGGGGATGTACTGGTGCTGGTCCACGCCGATGCTGACCCTCTCGTAGAGGAGCTCGTAGTCCCTCGTCAGGTAGTCGTTCATGGTCAGCTGATGCTGCAGGCGGAGGTTCCCTAGGCTGTTCTTCACCTCCTCGTCGAGGTTTTCCGCGGGGATGGGCTCGTTGTCCAGGACCTCGCCGCAAGGCAGGTGCCAGGGCACCTCGTTTCCTGGGGATCTGGTCTTTCGCGGCGCTGCCGATGTCCATCGCGGCGTCGTCAGGATTGATAGGACCAGGAGGGACGCACTTATCACTGACATTTTGCGGTCCTGGAGTTGGAACTATCTTCACCGTTCTCCTTAAGCTTCACCCTGGACCACTTCGCGCAGGGTGCTGCTCGGTCTTGGATCGTCGACTGAGTTTGTCAAATCCTCGTGCCTTCCTCCTTTATATATGCGATAGTGTAAACATTCGTACGTACGTACGCTCGCGGAGGAGCCGCGTGCTCGTCGGCCGGGAAGGTTTTGTCCGCGCGATCCAGCGGCGGAAACGCTGCGGAGGGGGACCGTTCATTCATGGATCCCTCGGTCAATGGGAAAGTGTCAAGTCCACGTGGACTCGGGGATGATGTCCCCTGCCTTGGGGGGAAGTCTTCACCCCGGTACTTCTTCGACAGCCCCTTCGTCCTCACCTTCCGCACCTGCTCCTGCAAGCTGCACCCGGTCACCTCCTTTCCTGGGGGGGCCTTTTTCGAACGCGGTAGGGACGGCAGTGACGGAATCACCGGATCGTCCCGTAAATTTGGATTTCTGGGAAATTTCGGAACGCGTTGTATGCATGACTCCTTGACTCCTCTCTCACTCTCTCTCTCTTCCTCCTGCTCGAAATAGTTACTTCGATCCGCGGATCGGGAGCTGGACAATGTCCGACAGGCCCCGACGATCCCTGATGACGATTCCTTCGGTTAGACGGTCATCTCACGACGAGATACGGCTTGAACCGTATAGAAGGCATCCTCGGTACATGCACACATTTTTTATAACCCTTTGCGGTCGATGCCGCCACCGCGATGCCTGGTTTAGGGACATTTTGATCTCCGTGCAGGAGCTACTCTCACCTAGGACACCTATAGATACCTACTCCTACGTTTTCCAGACCTCGCCCACTCGAGAGCTCGTCCTCGCGTAAGCCCCGGCACCTTTCCTCGAACCGCGAAAATCCTCGTCATCGCTCATTCGCGGATTGCTGGGAGGCCCTCTCATCGTGGGAGCCTGAGCTCTCTGGAAATCCGTTTCGTCGCGTGCCGACGTCGGTTCCCGGGCTGTTTGCTTTGCTGATTCACCCCGGGAAAGCCTCCGAGCCGACCTGACGTTGCTGCCGACGTGGGACCACCGACGGAGGAGGAACAGAAGCTCCGGAAATTATCGGGCGGGCCGAAAAAGTTGAGCAAAGTTTCGTCTAAGTGGGCTTAAAAGTTGGGTCGGTCCTAGGGGGATTCCCGTCCTGGTTTTTTCGGGGCTCTTCATGGTATCGGGCACCCTGGTAGCAGGTGGTCCCCTCTTCTTCCTCCTCCCAGGTCTCGGAACGCCACGCTCGACTCCTCTCCGCGAACTCCTTGACGTCAAGGGACAATTATTCTCCCGTACACGCGGCTGCTGCAAAAACGGCGGAATCGGGCGACGCGATAAAACGCGATCGGCAGTCTCGCCTCGTGAGAATTTATGGTGCAACGAGTACGCCTTCTATGGCGATCCTATAATTAAATTTAGCGGGGATTCCGAGAGAGCGCCCGTCTACCGGGGGCCTCCTACGCGCGTAATACGTCCTCCCTCGCTCCCTCGAATTTCCCGTCTCCTTTCTTCCCATCCCGATCTCCCGGCATCCGACAAACGCCATATCCTCATTCCGGAGGCAGAAATACGATTCCCCATAACGAGAGAAAAAAAAAAGAGGAAAGAAAAAAATCGACGACCCCGAAGCGCCCACCTTAACGACTCCGATGAATTTGCTCAGCCGAAGAGATTCGCTCTTGACAGAGAGAATCCTCTTTTTTATTACTCGAAACAAATAAAAATTCAATCGTTCAACGACTCCGATGAATTTGCTCAGCCGAAGAGATTCGCTCTTGACAGAGAGAATCCTCTTTTTTATTACTCGAAACAAATAAAAATTCAATCGTTCAACGACTCCGATGAATTTGCTCAGCCGAAAAGATTCGCACTTGGCAGAGAAAATCCTCTTTTTTTTATTACTTAAAAAAAAAATTCAATCCTCCAGATTCGACCCCGATGTGGATTTTCGAGCATGAAAGGAACCTTGTACGTGACGAACCGCCCCGTAAAAAAAAAGAAAACGAAGAAATTGAATAAGTGAATAAATAAATAAACTCCGAGAGTGCACCGAGAGCGTGGGAATCCTCAAGATCGAATGACCGATCGGCGGGCCCGCTTTCTCCCGCTTTCGATTTCTTGGCTCTTGTCAATGCTTAAAGGCCGGATGCTGGATCGCTTGTGCCTATTTACCGTGGTAATGATCGGGTATATGACAGGTGTAATGAGTTTAAAGTGCCCCGCGGAAACGGCCGTACGGGGGTTACGCGCAATCGGCGTTACGCTTTCCAGCTCCCTCGTAAAGATCGGCCTTATTGTCGGGGATGCCTTTGGGCCGAACTTAGAGCACTCTACAAAGTATGCCGACATTCGCCGAAGTATCAATGATCATTGCAGTAATCATTCTCGCAAAGTGCCAAATGGGAGGGCAGACTCTAGGTGGAGGTACAAAATATACAGGTTTTATTCGAGACGATTACACAGGAGCGGCGATGGCAATAAATAATATATGCAATGGTAACGTGATACAATAAATAGGTACTAACGTGTTATGTAAGTATGCGTATGTACGCGTATGCCCGATAAATATGCCGCCGCCCCGCAGGGATGCGGCTCGTCAAGCCGCAGACGGAAAATCCATGCGGTTAACACGCAGCTCTCATTTAGACGTACGGAATACTTAAAGAAACGAATACCCGCGGATGTACGTAAAGGAAGTGAAAATAGAAGAAGTACAAAGATGCATTAGATGCCTCTTTTAATCGTTCGGGTATTTTGTGCCCGACCTGCCTTAAGGCCTACTGCTACGCATGCGCGAGAGTCGTCTTTCTTTGCATAGATCGCGCGGAAAATGTACATTAAAAATGGAGCTCTAGGAGTAAAGTACCGCGGGTCGAAATTTTTCATATCGAGGCTCAATGTTTATACAAAATGGAGGGAGAAAACATGAAAATTAAGGGACATTCAGTTTCCAGTTAATTACAATTACGTATCGGTCAGGCTGTACCGGTCGAGAGCACTCGAGAAAAAGTCCTGTCAAAGGATCCAGAACTCCATTTTCAGATCTAGGATCGTGAACTGTGCCCTTAATATTATCCAAAAGGGTATTATCAATAAATTATTATCCGCTGGCGTTAATACTTTCATCCGGTAAATCCGAGGATTATTCGGGTGGACGAGCGAGAACGATCCGCCGGAAATTTAGGAATTTAATTAAGATAACCAGACCTTCGATAATAAGAATTTTCCACGGACAAGTTAATCAGACTTTCTCGTTAACGAGAACCAGGACTCTTTTAACCAGACTTGTCTATCAACATTAACCAGGATTTTTCATTCGAGGGTGCTTAAACGCAGCAAAAAAGTCGTGCCGGTCTTTCGACGCGAGATTCGATTATCGCGGCCCGACTTGCTCGAGCCTACTGTCATTCTTTATTATTTATTGTTTGTTTACTCGACAAATTATCGACTCTTCTCGCCGAGAGGAGAAACTGTAGACTCAGGAGGGCAAAAAGCCTCGGCAACGCGAGCGCGGTCCGGCGCGTCGGGATGAAAAATAATACAGTGATCGTCGCCGACCGCGCTGATAATTATTAAAAAGAAAAGAAATATATATATATGTACGTGGGTAGAGAGAGAGACAGAAAAGAATCTCGCATTATATTTATAAAACGTAGGAACTGCGTACGCGTCGCCGCGTACGCTCGCGATATCACAGCTAAAACAACTTGCAAGTTTACGCCGTCGCACGTTAAAGCTAGAATAAATAGGGCTTAGATTATCTTAAGGGGTAAAAAAAACTACGTCCGATGGTGGGGACCGGTCGAGGGGCGGATTTCGCATGCGGAATCCCGACGGAATGGCTGCGTGCCGCGGCAAGTGCAGCGCGGCCGACTGAAGTGCCGATTGAGACACACCGTCGAGGATGCGTGCGAGTAATCGCCCTTAATACTCGTTACTCGATGTGTAATACTGCTCGTAGTGGGATAGTATAGAACCGTTCTGAAATAGATCTCTTAATACTGATCTCTAGTCCGCAAAACGGGGCGCGAAAGTCCCGCGTCACTTCCAGGGGAAGGTCCTCTCGTCGCGTCGCCCTGACCCGGGCACACGTCCACCAGGTAATCCGTCGAAATATCGGGATTTCGAGAAGAACCCACCAGGTGAAGACTCATCAGCTCCGGGTCTTGGAACGATCGACTGGCAAGACCGCACTAAGATATCTCAAGGCTCGTCCTCGTACCTCATTTCCTTCAAAAACGCACTTTTAATACGTTTACGCCTTATGGCCTTAATTTCAGCCTTCTAGTACTCGAAGTGAGGTACGAGTACACGCCTTGGTGTATGACGTCGCGTGACAATGGAATAAATAGGAGGCGAGGCACTGGTGATTCGAAGGACGCTCTTCATCCGAAGCCCGACACTCGTGTCGGTGGGTGGAGGTCTCTTCAGGGTTGGCCTCGGGTCCGGGTGAGACCCGAGGATCCGCATGAGTCCCTGTTCCTGGAGGTCGGATTCGCAGGCTCGAGGGACTCGAATTTCCTCCCGGGGGTTGTCTCTTCAGGTCAGGTCCTTCCGCTGCTTGCGTTTGGCGAGCCTCCTCCTGAAGCCTCTTCTCGGTCCCTGACCCTGGGGCCCGTTTCGCTTGGGGACCTGGGTCCTCCTCGCTGCCCCGGGCTGCCGCTTCCCCTGGGGCTGGCTCTGCTCCTGGCCTTGGTTCCTGGGCCTCTTCCCCTTCGCCTCCACCCTCTTCGGGTTCTTCGGCTTGAGACTCAGGGGCTTCAGCGTGCTCGGGTCGCAGGTTCCTGGACCTGTCGCCGTGGCGTTCCTGAAGGCGCGCATCCAGTCGTTCAGGAAGACCTGGTACAGTCTCAGCACCCCCCAGTCCTGGATCAGCATCAATGTCAGGTCGCCCTCCTTTGCCCAGTTGGAGCTCTCCGTCACGATGACGGATTTGTGCGACACCGGCAACTGCAGGCCCAGGTTCAGGATGGCGGTCTCCACCTCGCACAGCATCTGAGGGAAGTGGACCAGATCGAAAGGGGTTCGTTCGTGAGATACTTGGGAAGTGACGAAAGAAATCATCTCCCTCGCGAGAAAAAAAAAAAATAATAGTAAACTTCCTTTTTCTAGAATTGGCAAATCGATTTCATTCAGTTTACCGCATTTTGTACACTATTGTGTACTTTTGCATCGTTTTAAGGAAATGCTCGAATTTAGGGCTGATGCCCTGCAGTGATTAGGAGAAACGCAGTCTGATCCTCACCCTGACGACCTCGTTGTGCATCCCGTCGATGATTCGGTTCCTCCTCCTCATTGTGAGGTCGGCGTTGATGTTGGACTTGAGCTCGAAGGCCCTCAGGTGGTGGAAGGTGATGGCGAACCTCTGGAGGGCGTCGTGCAACCTCGGCAGGGCTCTTTCGGCCTTCTTGCCCTTTTCCAGACACCACAACTCCCTGTGGTACCACTCGAGCTGCTTCTCCGGAAGCCAGCTCATCCTGTACTGCTCCTTCAGCACTTTATACACCTGCGGCGGAAAGGCGACACGTTGTTTAGACTGGTGACCCGGGAGAGGCGCATCCGAGTACCCCGAAGAGCACCCCGAAGCGCGAAATGCGGCCTCCTTCGCCCTCCACCTTTTTTAACACCGAGTCGAGTGGAAAATGTTTTCTCTTGGACTTTCTAACCAAGCTCAAAGGGGTAATAAGCGATTAACCTTTCCTGGGGATATCAAGGGAAATTATCGTTTGATAAGAATGAAAATGTCCGAGACTCGACGAACCCGAGGGTAGATCCGTTCAATTGTTACGAGGGGGTTAATCTTATCCATCGATCTTATTTCACCGTTCTAATCTCAATTAACCGCGCGATGAGTACCACCTTATGCGTCGATATAGATAGGAGTGATAAGAAGATGCCGAGGAAATCGGACGGCAGGTCCAGTCCGGCGTGGACCACAGGGTTAGTTGCCGCGTCGCGTGGTAGACAAAACAATAACTGTCATCTAGTTACTCGGGCATTGCGTGCCGGAACCGCGGGACGTTATATAAACGCGATCCCTTATCACGGACCAAGGAGCGGAGGCTGGCCGATCTTTCATCTTCCGCCTCTCGGCCGGCGGTCCTCTCGATCTCGGGTCTCACAATGGATCGGCGAGATCTCTAGACCCTCCCTCACCTTCGAGTAGATCTCGTGGACGTCCTTGAGGTCCTTCCTGAAGTGATTCTGCGCGACCCTCAGTTGCGTCCGGACCCTCTTCAGGGCGCGGTGGACGCTGTGTCTCTGCGGCAGCTTCTTAAGGGCTGCGGCCACGGGGGTTCCGCAGGGCTGGATCCACCGCTCCATGTCCGCCGCCTCCGAGGTGCGGATCCCGTAGGTCGGGGCTGCGGAAACCGCTATCAGTCCGGAACTCAGGAAGAAGACCAGGCTCGTCAGAGTGGCCGTTTGCGCCACCGAGTCTGCAATCAGAAGTCGTATACCCTCGTCAGCGATTATCCGCACCGCCGCTTAATGGGAGGTCGGACAAGAAAAGGGAAGAAAAAAAGAAAGGAAAGAAAGAAAATAAAGAAAACCCAGGATATGATACGAGCGCGCCGAGACCCGTATCGATCCCTATCGATCCTAGATAAATCATCGGAAAAATCCTGGAAATGTATTTTTCTTTTCCTCTCTCTCTTTCTCTTTTCTTTTTTGACGTTACTTTTCAAGAATCCCTTTACGCAATGCCGCGATAGGGAGGACGTGTCGCACATGCCGTTCCGACTTTCATCACTGTCATCCGGTGCGCACGCGGGACTAAGTACACGCGAGTATAGGTGCGCACACGCTTGTCATTAGGCGCGGCACCTACGCGCGGTTTTACCGGAGGCCTATCTCCGCCCTCGCAATGGGAAATGGGTTGCAAATCGGAGAATCAGAATTTATTGCGTAATTAACCGTCCTTACGACTTCCTCCTCTCGCGTTCCCCTCCCCGGCGGGGCCCTCCATTGTTGTCGGGGACCACCCTCCACCCTGACAAATCGGCCGCCGCGGGCTCGATTTTTGTCGGAAGCGTTTATTGCGAGCCGAGACCCCGGAAAAGACGCGGCCCTTCGGCGCGGAGAGATGAGCAAAATCAACCTTGGCCTTCCAGTCTCGGTGTTGGTCTTTTCACGTTTTACGAAACATCTTCGAAATGTCTATAAAGAAATTTCTTAACAACTCAAGTTTCACCGGTGTCGGGAGTTGCGGTTCAGGGAAAGGTTTCACAAACGATTGATCCCTCCGATGCCACTTTCGCATCCCCTTAAGGTACGTAGGGAATTTGTCGCCGGCTAATTTGTCGCCTAATACCCGGCAAACGTGATCGAATATCCCTCGGCTGTTTTAGCGGGGAGAGAGGGAATGTCGGGCCCCCGTCATGGCTGGGCCCCTTTATCCCGACTTAAAGGCCCCGCGGGGCCTTAAAGCGCCGCGACCGCCTGCTCGCGACGATCCTAAATCACGATTCGATTACCATCCACTTTGCTCCTCGGCGGAAACAAAAATCCCCGGGATACTTTATCGGCCCTTACCGCCTTCTCTCGTCGATTTCGCTCACCGTTTACACTTTTACCGGTTTCGTCGTTAGGTGGGTGTCCAATGCGGAGCCGAGCTCTCCGCGTTGTCTTCGCCACCTCGGCCGAGATCCTTTACGCTATCGATACTCCTCATCTCCCATTCCCCACGTTGTTATTCCCCATTTCACACATTTTGCTGTATCTCAGTCTTCCGCGGCGTTATCACGATCCCTTTTGTCGCATTTAATTTTTTTTTTAAGGGAGCTTTTTTTCTACCCCTCGGCCAAGACGAGGAAATCGATTTCTCCTTATCTCCCGCATTGTTATCATACATTTTGCTGTATACAATCTTTCGCGGCGTTATCACGATCCCTTTTGCAGGATATTAATTCTTTTGGAGAGGGAGCTTTTTCCTCTCCCGGTCGACAGAGACGAGGAAAAAGATCTCGCGGGGGAGAAAGGGGACTAGATCGATGCATCCCTCGGCACCGGGGCTCCGAAAGGGTTAAACGCGGTTTACCCGCAGTTCGCCGCGAAATGTCGCGAGCCGCAACGCAGGAGGCCGCTTTCTCGGGGTCCGCAAGGAGGGGCCGGAAAGGGAGCATTTTTTTCCGCTCGGCGGAGACGAGGAAGACGATTTCGCGGGGGGGGGGGTCCAGGGGGGTCGGGGGGAGACCACCGTGCCCGGAGGCTGCGGCGCTCTTCTGGGAAAGGTTCGGCCACCGCGAAGTCGATGATTGCACCGATTCGCTCCTTTAAACGCGACGTCCTCGATGCCGAGGGATCTCCTCGAGACGAAGGATTCCTCGACCTAAAAAGGGACGAGCAAGAGGAGAGAGGGCCTCGCTCGGAATTTGCAATTCCAAGTAAACTTTAATAAACTTAATGCCCGGCCGGGCCGTTATTTATCGTCCAGGTGTAGGTATCCGGTGTTCTCTCTTTTCCCTCCCTCTATTTTCCTTTTTCTCTACCTCCCTCCCTTTCGCCTTTTTAGCCGTTAAGTTCGGGGCCATTGTATGCGGCAAGTAGCGGCGTGGGACTTGGGGCCCGAATTTCGTCGGGCCCCGAGATGAAAGGGAGGACGCGTTATTATGTATGGGACGGGCTCGGGATGCATTTTGCAAGAGGCGCGTGACACGCGAGTAACGCGTCCTCGTCCCCCGTCGCTAGCCGAGCGAATCGTGAACTCGGTGGACCTCTTCGAGGTGGAGCCCAGAAGGTTACGTGTAGTTCGCCACGTTAATACGTCCGTCGAAGAGGCGCAGAGGCGTAGACCTTTACGCCGGGAGGTAAACGCTGGGGAACTCGCCGCATCAGGGGACGCGTCGCGGGATTTAGTCCGTCATACGAAATCCCAACCCCCGGGCGAGATGATAGGGACGACACGTTTCTTATCGTAGCGTCATTCAGGGGAAAAAAAAAAAAATTATTTTCCACTCGAAAAATGCTCTCGAACGTCTCCGATCATCCCCGGTCGGTGAGGCTCGCGTATATGTACGCGGAGTAGCGCAAACGCGCGCGTATGCAATTGGCGCGCGACGCAGCCGAGCTCTCGCGACAGGGTGGCGGGATGAGATGGGCGAAGGGTCGAGTGTTTGAAAATTCCGAGAGTTTCTCCGGGATTTCGGGCCTCCGCCACTGGCCCTGACGGATGCGCCAGACAGATTGGCGGTCTTGCGCGGATTTGCATCCCGGTAGGCGGTTATTATCCCCGAAGTATGCGACGACGGCCCGAGGGCACCGTCGACGCGGCCCTTTTGAAGTCGCCCCACGTATGCGGACGACGTCCCGCGGAAATCGGGGATGGTCATTTCCTATTTTCCGAGGATCCGCGACGACCCCCAATTCCCCTTTCCGGGCCCGAGCTGCGGGGTATGACGTCACGGATGCGCCAGACAGATTATCGGGCGCGCGCGGATTTGCATTTTGTCTGGTCGGTCTAGTGCATCCTCCTGCAAGAGGGGGGCGAGAAAGGGGGACGAGCTGGAAGGAGACCACGGGGCCCCACCCATAAACCGCACGGTCGAGGGTCTTAAGTTACCAGGATCGGCGAGGATCTCCCAGGATCTCCCAGGATCTCCCAGGATCTCCCAGGATCTCCCAGGATCTCCCGTAACGCGTTAAACCGTCCCTCCACCCTCGCTACCATCACCTCGTCTCCGAATCGAGTCTTCAAACGCTCCTCTTCTCCCTTGCACTTTTCTGCATCTCCCCCTTGCACCTCAGAATCCGCGTGCCCGAAGTTAATCCCAACGAGACGATTCCGACATAAGAGAGGAGAAGTGTCCAAGCTCGTGAAACGAGGAATGGCATAAATTAAAATCCGCTATCATTATAAATCAATAGCCATTTACATTCGTCATCGCGTATCACCGTCGGCGGGATTCCGCGATGCGTTCCTCTCCCAATCACTGACCCTCGAAAGTGAAAGGGACAAACGACGTGAAACCGGTGAAAATCATTACCGAAACAGCGTCGACCGCGTAGGATATCTCGTAGCCGAGAATACAATCGATCGTTAATCATTGATAACGTTCCCTTTCCACGTTCTGCCTAATCAATCGGATCGCCACATTGGGAGGGACCGCGGAAGCGTATAATTCGTTATCAGTCGTTATGTCTCTCTCTCTTTCCTATTTGGCGTGAACATTCGCTCGTACTTAGCGGTATGCACCTATGCACGTATATACCTAGGCACCTATGCACCTATGCACCGATGCACCGACGCATCCGCGAGCCACGTGGGGGGGATCGCGCGGTCTCGCGGCGCACCGACACACGCGCACCTCCGGTATTACGACGATATGGATCACTGATGTCATACTGACGTCACCCATGGTTTATATCCAGAGGTGACAGCTTACCGTTGGCACGAGTGCAACCGCGATCGGGCCCGACGGCTCTAGCCCCCGCCCCTGCCGAGGAATGCATCCCGATCGGCCGGTACGCGTTCAATGTCATCGGCTGTTACGATATCTATTGTAGGCCGCCGATATTCCCCGCGATATACGTAGACGCCATCGGAGACGCCGACGCCGACGCCGTCCCCGCGGCGGGCCCTCCTGCGTGGCCATGCGCGAGACCGGCATGCCACCCGGGGATCCCGAGGGTGCACCGGTCACTTTGCATCGCCGGGACGTGAGGACCCGGATCGATTACTTCCCCTGTCCGCGATACTCCAATAATTTCCCGAGAATTTATGAGAATTTATGAGAATTTATGAGAATTTTTGGAACACTCCGCTACGTTCGGCAGGTGACATTTCTTCAGAGGGGGTTTGCTTCAAAGTACTTTTCGGACGTTCTTTTGAATATCGCGATATATATGTATATATATTCTATTATTCGAGAGGTTTCAATTAAGAGAACTGAAATATAGGTATACATTTTGAGAGGTAGCGTGTTAATTGTTTTTAATTATGATTCACAGAGGGGGGTCGATTTAGACGATTTCTTGGAGATTATTTTCTTCTTCGCGAGGGATTTCTTTTTCTTCCTTATTCGCAATCGGTCGAGTTGCGGAATGAAGGGGCGAGCTCGCAAGTCGAGGAGGACGAGGTTCTCCTCTCTCGAGAAGGAGGGGAGAGGGCAAAAAGGAGGAGGATCCCGTAATCGTTGCATCGAGTCCCGGTGGTATATCGGCGCACGCGAGAAGAACCGCCGATGTATCGGAATGATTCAAGGACCGGCGTCGGAGGGGGGCGAGAAAACGATCGACTTTATAAATAACTAGCAACTCTGTAAGAGATCGTACTCGTCCGACTTCCGATCGGCCATTGGGCGACCGGCCGTCGTGGAAACGCCCGCTCCCGGCGGCACAATGGACGCAAACTGGTCGTTCGAGTCGGATCGTTCCCCAGGGCGAGTCGCTATTTGTCGCGAGGCTTTCGATTTCGAGATGCGGCGTTTACGAGCGTGGG